GCCATTCACCGGCCCGTCACTGAGCCCCGGACGGGCCTCCTCCCGTCCGTCCAGCCAGCCATTCACCGGCCCGTCACTGAGCCCCGGACGGGCCTTCTGTAACTGCTTGTACCAGCAACACTTGTCGCCCTAGAATATCCAGACTTCTGACAATTCAAGGGCAAAATGTGAAATCAACTCTTGACATTCTTCTCAAATCAATTAGATCCTGCCCAGAAATTTAGGGAATTTTGTCTTTTCCCTAACTGCATCCCAGTTTTGTGATTACTTTTAAAATGATCTTTGTTTTCATATTAATCTTGGTAGAGGGGATTATTATTAGTAAATATCTGATTATGTTCACATTTTCTGAATAGAGGGTCAAGTTTTAAAGTTGAGTAGACTATATACTACTAGATGTTTACAAGATTCGCATTCATAACAGTAATATCCCATGTTAACACAACTTTAAAGAGCCAGTCTCACAGAAGGTCATCATTTCTGACAGACTATCATTTTCCCTTTATGCTAATAGAGTGGAATAGTATTACATTCCTGGTGCATTATGTACAGGCAAATGACCTTATACCTGAGTTTCTTTCATTTAGGTGTGTACTCTAGGGGACATTTTTAATTTGACAGTTTATAGTTTGCACATACATTATCTTTGGAGCTTCCCATAGTCTTATGATTTAGGCAAAACAGATATTATTGTCAGCATAGTATTGCCATTAATAAGTGAGGAAGTAGAGATCCTTAGTAGTAACTGATTTGGGACCCAAATATAGGTGTTCTGATTCCATCCAGCATATTCCTGTTTCAGTAAACTTATAATAGTAACACTAGAAGTATCAGTAATAATAACTATCTAATATTAATATCACACACTTACATTGGGCCACAACGCACTGTGCTAAACACTCTGTATACATCGCTGTGTTAATTTCATTTTAGCCTCACAACAACCTTATGTGTGGTAAGTATTCTTATTCTGAGTTTATAATGTAGACACCTGCAGGTTCAGAGACATTGGGCAGAGTTTGCAGGATCACACAATTAGTAGGAGAGTTAGGATTTGGGTCTAGAACCGCCTGATTCCAAATCTTATACACGTTTCCACTACATTAGACTAGCAAAGGAATGTCAGCTTAATGTTTGAAGGGTCTGGCTGAATTTATTCTAGATGACTTTCTACTGTGTCTGTGATTCTCAGGGTCATCTTGTGATGCATTTATTTCTTGTTTTGTGAAAGTAGAACTATTTGGAGGGGAAGAATCTTACCATGATTTCCCAAAACCATTTATTTTTATTTATACTATATGTTATACAAAATCTTCTTTCTTGAACACATTTTATTTTAATAGATTAAGGGTCTCTCTCTGCAACATGGGAATAAAATTATACTCATTAAAACAATTTCATCATAAAGAAATTACTTTGAAATGCAACTGTCCCCTCCCTCCATATTATTTGTTAGCCAGCTTCCCTGGGTCTGAGTGGAGCATTTTTTTCAGGCATTTGCAGCCACCCAAGTATTCTTTAATATCTTCTTTTGCTTCCCCAAAGCAGTGCTTAACATATTCTAATTCACACAATTGGTAGAACACCATTGTTAATATTCAGTCATATTCATACTCATTCATTGCGGTTAAGAAAATCTGAGAGGGACATCTCGGTGACTCAGTCGGTTAAGCATCTGACTTTTGATTTTGGCTTGGGTCGTGATCTCAGGGTCATGAGATCGAGCCCCACATTAGGCTCTGTGCTGCTGAGCATGAAGGCTGCTTAAGATTCTCTCTCTTCCTCTGCTCCTCCCCCACACTCTCTCTCTTTCTCTCAAAAAAGACAAAAAGAAAAAGAAAGAAAATTTAAGAAAATGCCTAGTAAATCTCATTTTTCCCCTAATGCCTTCCATATTATAAACTTTATGCACTTCCCTAAGGCCTATACTGATAATAAAAATGGCTGAGGAAGCTATGGTAATTGGAGGGAATGGTGTGTAGTGGGAATAGTTCCCTAATGATCCTCATAATAAATTGTGCTGCCACGAGCCAGCTAGTTTATTTCCACTACTCAAATTAGCTGCACCATAAATACCTGCTATGGGTTCCATTCTCAGAATTAAAACAGTGTTAGTTGGTTGTTTCCCGTGTTAGTCTTCCAAGTCATTACCTAGGTTTTCCTTAATCCATCAGTGTTTTTTCTCATAACTTCCCACATAAATTCTCTACTTGGGGGGATGAAGCCTACTCGGTGTCCCACTCACTCCCTATGATCACCCACAATATTGTTTTTATTCCTGGGCTGGTGCCTTTGTTCCCATTCCTCCTACCTTATCTAGTCCCACCTGCATCTTCTCCCTTCTCAAAGGCTCAGCTGTACCTTAAAGTTTTCTCTACAGCAGTTCCAGCCCATATGAGCTTCTTGAGGTCAGAGACCACATCGTACACATTTCTGTATTTCTGATACCTAGTATAATGCCTGATACTCAGTAAGCACTCAACAAGTTAAATAGATTTTGAGCAGCCGCTCTG